CAGCTCCGACAGAACACAGACCAACTTTTACCTGCTGTCTTAACAGCGCGTTTTAGAAAATACCACAAATGGCGCGGTAAACGCCATCTGTAGTACGATGCTACATTTTAGGATTACGTATGCTCCAACAAGGTCCACTTGTGGGGATATCTACTTGCTGAAACGAATCCCGGCGTAACTAACCTCAACGTGATAGGCACGTTTTACTATAATTGAATAAAATAATTCGAAGTGTTCTGTATTCTGTCGAAACTGCCATACGCACTGTTAAGACAGCATGTAAAAGTTGGTCTGTGTTCTGTCGGGCTGCCTGCGGCGCGCTGATGAGATCCAAAAAGATCGAAATCGCGATCCGCGTCTGGCAGTTTCGACAGAATACAGACCACTTCGAATTATTTTGTTCGATTATGGTAACATGCCTATAACGTTGAGGTTAGCTACGCCGGGATTCGTTTCAGGAAGTAGATATCCATATATTTAAATGGACCTTGTTGGAGCATACGTAATCCTAGCATCGTACTACAGATGGCGTTTACCGCCCCATTTGTGGTATTTTCTAAAATACTAAAGTAGTTTTGTACATTGTAAAACAAAGAGTTTAGATACATGAATTGGATAAATTTTAAGAAAGCTCTTAAATTATTCCAGAGGAATTTATACACAGAATTTGCAAGGGGAGAATTAGTAATGGGTGTTAATGTACCAGCCTGTGCATATGGGAACTATGCAGTGTTCGAGAGCGAAAGAATATCTTTGGGTGAAAAGGTGATTATGTCCAGTCACGCACCTGTTTCCCAAGAATACCTAAAAAGGGGTTGTCCCACATGCTTAAGAGCGAAAATGTGGACAATTGTTTTAGGAGCAGACGTTAAGCCAAACGTTAGTAACAATATCCCGTCATAATTTTGAATACTGAAATATACATATTCATTACACTGTATTGTAAACAGCTAACACCATTCTCTCCCTCACAAGAAATAAGTAATAAGTTCTTAGTCTAAAGGGCGGCGACTTCGAACTTATTAGTTCTCATCACCACTCTATTTTTCAACTATTTTATTTTGTAATATTTATGTTCACAGCACTACGAAGAATTTGAGAAACTTAAGACAGACGTCCTGAATTTAGATTTAATGAGCGACAAACTTGTTATAAAAGACATACATTTGACTGCATCAAACGATGATCAGTACTTTGTTTTTGAAGATGTTCTTTATCAGGTAAATGGGATTCAAGAAAATAAATATAGGGAAATACTCTTCAGCTTTAATTTCTCAAACGTTTAAATTTTTGAGGTTCTCCTGTGTTTTACAAGAGACAGTCAGGTTTTAAAAGACCTCCCGGATGTATGCCAATTGCAAGTAACAATGAAAACTAGAGGTATTTTAGAAACAGTCATGACCTTTCCTCCAAATGGAGTGATACCATTCCATGGATTTACTATGTATGGTAAGACTTTAAAGAAACAAAATGTACCTAATTTAAATTTTATTAATTTTTCAATTATTATCTTTATACTGTTGCTTATTAGAAGTTCTTTCAGCTGCACCGTTTTGTTATTTGTATGATGACCCTGTGGCACTGTACCAGACTTTTAAAGCAATGTATACTCGATACTTTCATAAACTACATAAAGTGTCTGGTTCCTCGCAAGGAGTTGTGGCTTTATGCCTTTTATACGAAAGATTGCTTCAGTGCCATGAACCTAGCGTTTGGCTTCATTTTAAACAGTTAAATATTCCACCGTAAGTAATGCAAGGAAATCTTACTTTAAAAAGAATAATTCAAGTTATTTAGCATTTAATCTCATTCATTCAAAAGGAAGAGAGCTTATGACAGCACGAATTGTGTCATTAGAAGACAATGTAAATAAAAATAAGACTTTACAATTATGACACAACTTCGTTCGTGTTGCCTTTACTTAACTAACCTAACCAACCTTAATGAATGTTATTTGTGTGTTGTCCTAGTCATATCCTTTCATATATTTACGTAAACTCGTCGATACAATTAATGTTTATTAAAATTAGAGGTCATATTACAGAGAGGTAAAATTGGAAAGTAAGCAAGTCACTAAAAAGAATGTCGACCTTTTGGCATTATATCTAGGGTTGCCACCCGTACTTTATTATAAAGTATTGTACTCTATTTCGACTGTGCGTACATTATACTTTACAAGACACATAAAGTACGCAAAATACTTTATTTAAGGCCTTAAGTAAACATCGTAATTTTGTAAGCGATTATTCGAATTTCAGAGGATTTTTACATCAATAAGATTGCACAGAAAAATGGCAAGCCATATTTACGGAACAATCTGATTTCCCAAATCTGTTCAAAGTAGTGTCACTTTTGCTGTCCATTCCGGTCACTTCAGCATTTACAGAAAGGGTATTCTCTATTATGAACGCAAAGTGGCGGGACGACAGGAATAAAGCTTCATTAAAACTAATTAAAAATAAACTTTTAGTTTACTTAAATCTTTGTTTGGCATGTTTAGAGGCTATTAATGTATTTAAGAGCGACAGCAATTTGTTACTGGCTGCTA